AAAGCGACTTAAGCCCATACCCCTTAAACTCTAAACCCTAAAGCGACTTAAGCCCATACCCCTTAAACTCTGAACCCTAAACCCGTAAGAGACTCAAGCCCGGAGCGGGGCTCCTGCAAAACGTAGCAGTGCCGAGGGCTGAGGCTTAACGGGTTTACTTGGTCAAGGCTTTCGGGTTTAGGCTTTAGGGTTTAGGCTTTAGGGTTTCGGGTTTAGGAGTTTAGGGGGGGGGGGGGTTAGGGTTCAGGCTTTAGGTTTTAGGGTTTATTGTTCAAGGGTTTAGGCTTTAGGGTGTAGGGTTTAGGGTTTAGGGGTTATGCTTTAGGGTTTAGGCTTTAGGGTTTATAAGGGTTCCTTCTGTATAGAGGTAGGGAGAATGAGTAATAAGGTCTCCTTACATTTCCAAACCTGTGTTGTAAAGGAAGCCGAACCGCTTGACAACTTTTACTTAATGGCCTTTGCGCTACCAGGGTTCAGGTAGTTTGTTCTTCCCAGCAAGCTTGCCGCCTGTATATGTTGGACAGTCTGCATGAGATTCTGGCACAACCCACTTCAATACTTGCTTGGGGGGATATTTCGGTAGATGTTAAATAGGAACGATAGGAGCATACTACTACTACTACTACTACTACTACTACTACTCCTACTACTACTGCTACTAACACCACTACTGCTACTGCTCATTCAAACCCCTATGTTATGACAGGTAGTCATGGTCGTATAGTAGCAGGGTTTGTGGCAGCGTCAGGAGACACTGAGTGTACCAGGCCTGGAAGGCAACTGTTGACGGGTTTGCAGACGCTGCCCTGGATTCTGCTTCAGCTGCTGTGCGAGACGCATCTAAGCGTCTGACCACGCAGGCGGTGTCGTTCTCTGCCATGTTGAAGCAGTGCCTCCAGTTCCGGGAGGCCTTCGTGCCCCTGGCAGATAACGGTGGGACGACCTTGACTGTAGACGACACTACGAACGGGGACCTGCTGGGCGGCCTTGTGGTGACCAACAAAGCGCACTGCGCGGAGACCATGACAGTCAGGTGCGGTCCCAGGCGATTCAGCTGCAGAGGGCCGTTACTTGGCTTCGTGACGTGTTCGGAACCACAGATGCCACAAGCAGCAAGGTACCGCTGGCCGCCCTTGAACAAGCTGACGTGACACGAGGCCAACTCTGCCTTGCTGCACGATTCCTGCGCACCGGGACCACCGACGAGTTGAATGCCATGGACTGCCTCATCTGGCGCACGATCTGCGACCCCATCTCGGAGGAAGATGTGGACTCCTGCAAAGAGACGCTCAAATCAGACGCGGTCTCGAGCGCAGTCCGCAGGAATCTGGAGAACCGCCAGCGCATCATCAGGGAGGTCTTCATCGCTGTCATGGCGATGGTCCGGGCCTCGCCTGCAGGCCTCCCTCGTGAGATCGAGACAATGCGCACTGCTGGTTTGAGGCTAAGGTTTATGGTTGAGAGTTCTACGGTTTCGCAGTCTGACAGGCAGACATGCCATTGTAGAACCAAGGCAAGTGGCAGTGCATAGAATCCCGCGTAACCCCCCCCCCCCC